TGCCGACCTTTGTGCCAAGCGTCAGGCCGCCGCCGCCGCCGCCGCCGCCGCCGTCGTTTTCGGCACCGGCACCGCCGCTCGGCGGCTGTGAGGTCTCGCCGGGCTGGGAGGGCGGGCCCGGGGCAGAGCCGCCGGGGGCGGTGGACGGGGTGCTTGATGTCGTTGTTGCTGTCGTGGCGGACAGGTCCTGGGCGCGGTGGTTGAGCTGGAAGAGGGGCGCGAAAACGGTGTAGGTGCCGGGGCTGTCGGTGTTGGGCAAGGTGATCAAATTGAAGTTTGCAAAGGAGCCCGAGATGCACTGCACGGTCGAGAGCGAGGTGGTGCTCGTCACGACGGCGACGCAGGTCTGGCCTGTTGTGCCCGAGGCGACGACGGAGCTGATGGAGTATCCGCTGATACCGACATGGGCACATGGCTGTTTTTAGCATGAAGCACTCTCGCCTTGTTTTCACCCCCATCTCCTGATGCCCTACCCAACCTACAAGACCAAACGAAAAAAAAAGCAGCACAGGTCAAAACCTTACCTGGGACAGCACGCGACGGCGGTCTCGCCCCCGGCCATGGAGTAGCCGACGCTCCACCCGGACGCGGCGCCGGACGTGGCCAGGGCGGCAGTGGAGTATCCGGCCGGGCACTCGTAAGCGGGCGAGTAGAGGCCCCAGCCCATCATGACGCCCGGGTCGGGCACGCCGGCGGACCGGGGCGGCCAGCAGTCGGTCCAGTCGTGGGCGCGCCGCTCCGGGTTGCACGACTGGCCCTGCCACAGCGTCGTGCAGGTGCCGCAGCCGGCCATGGCCATGGTGCAGATGGACGGCGGCGTCCACGCCGTCGTCAGCGGGCCGAGGAGTGTGCGGGGAGACGGCATTTCTTCTTTGATGTGGTGTCCCGCCCAAAAAAAAGAGGAGTATGATGTGTTATCACTCGTCCCGGCTTGTGGGAGTCGGCACAAAGTGGCTACTCGATTCTAGGGGAACTCCAGAAGCGCACAGCGCCAGACGCGGTCAAGACATTGGAATTCCTGCGCGCCCTCCACGGCCGTGTCTGATTCTCTCCCGCTAAGCCACCACCGGCACGCACCAGCACAGCCAAAGCACGACACTCAGTCCTAGCCCGTCGCGCCGTCGCGGCACCAAGCGCTCGTGTGCGCCGTACTGTAGCTAGTGCCAACCGGTTTGACGCACCATGACATGTACAGTCGGGCCATTGTCCAATGAAACGCGGCTGTTGTTATTGGGCAGACACCACCACTTGACTGCCGCCACCTCTGGCCGCGTCCCGTGCCTGAGGACATGCATACCTGGCGCCGAGCGACTTTGGACGGCGATCAATTTGTTCAATTGTGTGCCACCTTTGTTGACTTGTCGCATCTCACAAGTTATTGCCATTCGAACCCCAAGCCTACCTAGAACATGGACGACAGGGGCACCCTCAATCACCCCTTGCAGCCAACCCTTGCCCCCTTGCCAGTGGGTTTCCTTCCCAGCCCTGTCCCGGTACTCCGCTGGACGTGCGCCGACGGAATTGTGCCACCAACGACAAAAGGCCCTGGAGGGACCCGGCATCTCCATCCTGCGCACGTCCAATCTCGCTCCAGGGCGGCGGGCTGGTTGACGACTCGTGCCCGGATCCGCCTGGGCGATACGGAGTACGGGAGTACTGTGTACCTAATAATACGGAGAGAGCCGAGTCCTTTTTGTACCCCCCTCACTTTTGGGGAGGAGGGGCGTGTGGACATGGCTACGGCTCCTTTGCTCGCTTGGCTGAAAGTTTGGGTGGTGTGACGGGTGGCTGCTGCATCGAGGCAGAAATCCGCACCAGAGTTGAAGTTGATGCATGTCCAAAGGGATTCGAGTCTGGTCTGGTTTTCTCTGATTGCTGCAGCTTGGTCTCGACACCATCACGCTCTTGCATGTCTGTGGTGTTGTTGGTTCTGATCTGTCTTGGCCGCCATGCGAGCAACCTGTAAAAATGTGATCCAACAAGTACTTGCAACGGTGGTGGGGTCTTATATGTCCAATCGAGGCCTATAATAGTTCGCCATAATAGTTTCGCCCGCATCAAATACTATCTGCACCTTTTCTAATAACACGAAGTTGCAACGGGACTTTACACACAGACAAAATACAGAATCGCTCGTGAACCAGTTTGCCCAAAAATAGAGCAAAACCAAACCAGTCCCAGCAAAAAAGAATGGCCGAGCCCACAAACACCCCCGCCCCCTCCTCCCCGCGCCCGGACGCCGCCGCCGCCCCGATCCTCATCGTCGGCGCCGGGGTCAGCGGGTTGCTGCTGGCCCAGCACCTGCGGCGCGAGGGGGTCGCGTTCGCAATCTTTGACCGCGACGAGCCCGGCGACAAGACGCGCGGCGTCGGCTGGGGCCTGACGCTGCACTGGTCGCTGCCGCAGCTGCGCGCCCTGCTGCCCGACGACCTCGTGCGCCGCCTGCCCGAGGCCTACGTCGACCGCGCCGCCGTCGTCGACGAGGGCCGCTACTCGGCCTTCCCCTTCTACGACCTCAGCACCGGCGGGCTCAAGGCCGCGACGCCCGGGGCGCCAGAGTCCAAGAGGATTCGGGTCTCGCGCGAGAGGTTCAGGGCGCTGCTGGCTACCGGGATCGATGTGCAGGTGTGTGTGGTTTTCTATTTTCTGTGTTGTTGTCCGTAGCGGGTAGAGGTTCAACTTTGACTGAACGCACCCGAATCAACCGAAAAAAAAAATAGTGGAGGAAAACAGCAACGAGATTCGAAACCTCAGACGATACGAGCTCGGTCACCGTCCACTTTGACGACGGCACCTCACACAGCGGCCGCTTTTTAGTGGCCTGCGATGGCGGCAACTCGCGCATCCGGACAGCCCTGCTTGAGCAAAAGGCAAGGCAGCAGCCACCACCAGCACCACCACCACCTGTCAACGGCGACAGCAACGACAACCATGAGGACGGCCGCTTCCTCATCCCTGTCGGCGTCATGGGCTTCAGGGTCAACTGCACCCCGGCCCAGGCCCAGGCCATGAGGGATCTGGACCCCTTCTTCCTCCAGGGGACCGCGTCGGCGAACAACACCTACATGTATTTCAGCGGTGAGTTTTTTTTGTTATTTTATTTCTCTTGGCTTTGTTTCTATTCCCGTCCCTCCCCTTCCCTCTCAATCTTCCATTTGGGAAATCGCCCGGTCCCAGGCGAAGCAAGCCAGCCGCAAGCGCCCGAACCAGACGTGAACCTTGGACGCCACCGACGTGGCATCAGGAGGGGGACTGACTCGAAACCCCCCCTACCCTACCCCCGATCCTCCCAGTCCTCGACTCCCCCGGCAGCCCGCCCGAGAACACGGACAGGTACGCGTGCCAGGTCGTGGTTTCGTGGGCGCTGAGGGACAACGACAAGCTCGGGCTCAGCGGCGACGGCGGCCATGTGAAGGCGCCACACGTCTATCCCGTCACCAACGAGAGCAGGCTCGCCCTCGTCAGGTCCCTCGGCGCCGTCTGGGCCGACCCGTTCGCCTCGCTCGTCCGCTCCGTCCCGGACGGCACTGAGGTCCGCGCCCTCGAGCTGTACGACTGGCCACCCCCGACCGACTTCAGGGGCGAGGGCCCCGTCGCCCTGGCTGGGGACGCGTTCCACCAGATGTGCATGTGTGAGTTTTTTTTTTTACTTTTTTTTCCTGCTCTCGCTACCAGAAAAAGTTCCCATGGCAATTCTTCCGCCCCGTCCGTCCTATCCAAAACACCACCCACGTCCCTGGAACCCACCGGACCCCCCCCCCCCCCCCTCGCCTTTCGTGTTTTCGG